ATGATTTATATTCCTTTGGGTATATAGCCAGTAATGGGATTGCTGGGTCAAATGGTTTTTCTGGTTCTAGATCCTTGCGGAATCACCACACTATCTTCCACAATGGTTGAACTAACTTACATTGCCACCAACAGTGTAAAAACATTCCTATTTCTCCACAGTCTTGCCAACATCTGTTGTTTCTTGACTTTTTAATAATTGCCATTCTGACTGGCGTGAAATGGTCAGTGAACATTTGGGTTGTTTCAGTTTTAGGCTATTACAAGTATAGCTATTATGAACTTTCATGTGGAAGTCTCTGCTTTCATTTCTCTTAGGCAAATACCTGAGAGTGGAATAATTATGTTACATAGTAGGTGCATGTAAGTTGTTAAGAAACTGACAAACTTTTCTAAGATACTTACACCATTTTACAATCCCAACAGTTGTGTATGAGAGTTTCAGTTGCCCTGCATTCTGGTCAATAAGGTATGGTCAAGGTTTTTAATTTTAGCTATTCTAGTGGATATGTAGTAATATCTCATTGTGGTTTTAATTTGGATTTTCCTAATAACTAAAGATGTTGAGCATCTTTTTATGTGCTTATTTGCCATCTGTGTTTTCCTCCTTTTTGGTTAGGTTGTTCTTATTCAATTGCAAGAATTCCTTTTTTTTTTTTTTTTTTTTTTTTTTTTTTTTTGAGACAGAGTTTTACTCTGTTGCCCAGGCTGGAGTGCAGTGGTGCGATCTCAGCTGACTGCAGCCTCCACCTCCTGGGTTCAAGTGATTCTCCTGCCTCAGCCTCCTGAGTAGGAGAAGCTGGGATTACAAGTGCCTGCTACCACACCTGATAATTTTTATATTTTTAGTGGAGACAGGGTTTCATCATGTTGGCCAGGCTGGTCTCAAACTCCTGACCTCAAATGATCTCCACACCTTGGCCTCCCAAAGTTCTGGGATTATAGGCATGAGACACTGTGCCTGGCCAAGAATTCTTTATGTATTCTAGAATCAAGTTCTTTGATACCTGTTTTGCAAATATTTTCTCCAAATATATGACTTACTTTTTTCATTTTTATAAGTATCTTTTGAAGAGAGAAATATTTTTATGAAGTCCAATTTATTGATTTTTCATTTATAATTTATGCTTTTTGTATATTGTTTAAAACTCTTTGTCAAACCAAAGATCATTAAGATTTTCTCTTATTTTTTTTTTCTATAAGTTTTTGTAGCTTTAGCCCTGACACTTAGGCCCATGATCCATTTCAACTTCAATTTTGTATATATTTTGAGATATAAGGGTCAAGGTTCATTTTCCATGAATTAATCCTTGAATCACTTCTGTGTCTACTCTCTTAAGAACTTACCTAGTCATGTGGCTTTAAATATCATCTGTATATTAATGACTCCCAAATTACAACTCTAGCCCAAACTGCTATTTTAAGAGTTCTCTCAAACGTGTCCAAAACTAAGCTGTTAATATCCATCTTTTCCCTTCTTCCATGCCTGTCCCTCTCACAGTCTTTGCCATTTCGGTAAATGCAACTTCATTCTTTCAGTTGCCTGGGACAAAACTCTTGGCACATCTTTGAGTGTTCTCTTTTTCTGTCACCTCCCATCTTGATATGTTGTCAAATTCTGTTGGCTTCATCTTCACATTATATTCAGAATCCCACCTCTTCTCACTCTCTCCTCTTTTACCACTGTAGTCCAAGCCACAATTATCTTACCCAGCTTATTGCTGTAATATTCTAATAGGTCTCTCTACTTCTACCTTTGCATGTTTATTAAATTAAGTCAAATGTTGTCATTTTTCGGCTCATAACCTACCAGTAGCTTTTCATCTCACTCAGAGAAGGAGCCAGATTGTTATAATGATACCTAAGGGCCTGCACCATCTAGCCACCCATTACCTACCTTACAACATTACCAGGCCCTTACTCACTCTGTTACAGCCGTACAGGCCTTGTTGATGCTTCTCAAATATACCAAGCACACTGCCTACCTCATGCCATTAGAACTTGCTATTTCCTATGTCTGGAATATTTTTCTTCCAGATAACTTAAAGTTTATTCTCTCACTTCCTTAGATCTGTATTCAGCTGTTACCTCAGTGAGCCCTTCCTATTTAAATTACTACTAGGCGGGGTACAGTGGCTCACATCTATAATCCTAGCACTTTGGGAGGCCGAGGCGGGTGGATCACAAGGTCAACAGATCAAGACCATCCTGGTCAACATGGTGAAACCCTGTCTCTACTAAAAATACAAAAATTAGCTGGGCATGGTGGCACGTGCCTGTAGTCCCAGCTACTCTGGAGGCTGAGACATGAGTTTCATCTATGTTGATGCATGTAGCTGCAGTTCATTTATGTTTACTCCTATATAGTATCCCCATTGCATTGAGAAACCACTCTATCTATTCTCCTGTATGTACAATTTTGTGGCGGTTTTCTTGCTTTTTAATGCTAAAAACAGTGCTGCCATAAACATGACTGTACATGTTTCATGAAACAGACATGCAAGTTTTTCTAGGGCAGTTTCTTAGGAGTAAAATTACTATTGCATAGGGTATTTGTATCTTTCATTTTACTAGTTAATGCCAGATTGTTTTCAAAAACAATTGTACATATTTATATACCCATCAATGGTATATATGAGTTGTTATTTTGTTTTTCTAATGTGGAGGGTATAAAGCAGTGTTCCATGTTAGTTTTAATTTGCATTTTCCTATTTCCTAATGAGGCTGGATATCTTCTCAGATGTAATTGGCCAAAAATTAGCCAGGCATGTTGGTGCATGTTTGTAATCCCAGCTACTTGGGAGGCTGAGACACGAGAATCACTTGACCTCTGGAGGCAGAGGTTGCAGTGAACCAAGATTGTGCCACTGCATGACAGCCTGGGCGACAGAGCAAGAGTCGGTCTCAAAAAACAAAAGAAAAACAACCTCAGGAAACAATTTATAAATTTTTTTGATGCATTATCTCTTTAGGAAAGACTTACAGAGATAGTATAACTTGGTTAAAATATACTCTTCATATCAGCAGAAGTAATAGCCAGTTGAAAATAATTGAGAGTCATCTGAGCTTTATGTAAATTGATTTTCTGGGCAACGCTTGCTTCTTACTTGATGCTTTCCTCTGTGAAATGTTTATCTGTGTTATTTGTTCTTTTTTAATTGGACTTTTTGGTTTGTGGGAGTTCTTCATATATTCCAGATATATATTCTTTACCAGTTATATATAATGCAGATACCTTTTCCCAGTATGTAGCTTATCTTTCACTATCTTTTGATGAATAGAAATTCTAAATTTTAATATAGTTTAATTATCAATCTTTGCCTTCATAATTTATGGGGGTTTTTTTTAGCCTTACTTAAGAAATCCTTTCATATACAGCATCATCCAGTGATTTTCTTTTTCCAACCCTGTCAAGGCAGATTGCCCTTGGAGCACTCCTTAGACTTGTCCTTGACAACCTGTTCTACAGAAGAGATCTGAAAGTCAGTCACAATGGCAAAGGCAACTGAGACCAGCTCAGTTTTGGAAAATATTTTCAGAAATGGAGGGGCAGGCGGAGGGAGAGAGACGGAGAGAGTGGGGAGACGGGGAGCGGGGAGAGGGAAGGTGAGAGAGTTATAGTGAAACATTTTCTATTCTGTTTTTTTCACATAGCATCATGTTTCAAATATTTTTACCTCATTAAAATTATTAAGGTTCAATTATAATGAATATTATATTGGATGGGAATCAGAGTTCTTATTGAACATTTTGCAGTTGTAAGACCCCAGATGTCCAAGCGTGGTGGCTTATGCCTGTAATCCCAGCACTTTGGGAGGCCAAGGTAGGCAGATCACCTGAGGTCAGGCGTTCAAGACCAGCCTGGCCAACATGGTGAAACCCTGTCTCTACTGAAAATACAAAAATTAGCCAGGCATGTTGGTGCATGTTTGTAGTCCCAGCTACTCAGGAGGCTGAGACATGAGAATCCCTTGAACCCTGGAGGCAGAGGTTGCAGTGAGCCAAGATTCCGCCACTGCACAACAGCCTGGGCAACAGAGCAAGACTCTGTCTCAAAAAACAAAACAAAAGAAAAACAACCTCAGGAAACAATTTATAAATTTTTTTGATGCATTATCTCTTTAAGAAAGACTTACAGAGATAATATGACTTGGTTAAAATATACTCTTCATATCAGCAGAGGCAATAGGCAGTTGAAAATAATTGAGAGTCATCTGAGCTTTCAGTAAATTGATTTTCTGGGCAACACTTGCTACTTGCTTGATTCTTTACAAAGAAAGTGACTATTTAGGCTGGGCGCGGTGGCTCACGCCTGTAATCCCAGCACTTTGGGAGGCCGAGGCGGGTGGATCACGAGGTCAAGAGATCGAGACCATCCTGGTCAACATGGTGAAACCCCGTCTCTACTAAAAATACAAAAAATTAGCTGGGCATGGTGGCACGTGCCTATAATCCCAGCTACTCAGGAGGCTGAGGCAGGAGAATTGCCTGAACCCAGGAGACGGAGGTTGCAGTGAGCTGAGATCACGCCATTGCACTCCAGCCTAGGTAGCAAGAGCGAAACTCCGTCTCAAAAAAAAAAGAAAGTGACTATTTAAAAGTATCTAGCCTACTTGGCTTACATGAAGCTTAGACTTGATGATGTCCATGTTTACTATTCATACATTGTATAGTAATTATGTATAATTTTTCCTTTTTGATATCTCACATGATTTTGAACATACTTAGTTTGATGAGGATTTAATGGTATTTTTAATTAATCCTCTCAATGTTTGAAAATGGTTAATAGGGTATATATTTTGGCATCTTAAAACTGACCTATTCTCTTTAGGGTAATTAAAAAGTCAGTGTACACTTTGTATGTGTGAAATACTTGGTCATTATTAAACCAGCTTTTCTTCAAGAGAGATACACTCTTTAATTAAGGAATGTAATAAATCACCCTCTATTTTATTGTTATTGGTGTTAATGCTTGGTCTTGTAACTCTGCCCTGTCCACAGGTTAAAGTATTACACAATCAGCTGGTCCTTTTCCACAATGCCATTGCCGCCTACTTTGCTGGGAATCAGAAGCAGCTTGAACAGACACTTAAACAGTTCCATATCAAATTGAAAACCCCTGGAGTGGATGCCCCGTCTTGGCTTGAAGAACAGTAAAATCACACCAGAGAATAAAAAGAAAGTCGCATTGTTATATTCTAAACAAACTTAACAAGAATTAAGCAGAGTTGGGGAGAGTGGGAGGGGTGACAGCCATTGTAGTGATCTTGCACAAACAGCTTTAATTTTTCCCTTTTTCATACTTTAACAATTGAACTATTAAATTTGATGGGAAGGTGGGTGGTTTTAATGTAAACATAGTTTCTATAATCTGAACACAATAATTTTCCTTTTTGAGAAATCCTTTTGTATTGTGAGGGTTGACGGCTATTTCTATAGTTTGAAAACATCTAATATAGATTTGCACTGACAAGATAAAAATTCAAGGTTTTTGGTCCTGGAAATGAGGGCCAATTGTAACTTTTCCAAAGGGAGGTTTACATGATTTGTATCAACATCAGATATTTTATATATGAATATATTAAACATCTTTAAGAGATTCATTTTCATGTATTAAAGAAAAAAGAAACTATTTTGCAGAGTAAAGTTATATGGTGTTCCTGCAGTGTCCACATAGAGGCAGCAGCTCTGTTGAATGACTAATTAGCTTGTGGAGTTGTGGCAAATACCTTTTTAAAAATGAATTTGTACCATTGTAATTTTATTTAGACTATTTTAAATAGTCTAAATAGACTATTTAAATAGAGACTTTTAAGCTTCTGAATTTCTTCACCCAAAGTCATTGGACAGTTGCATTTGCAGTTTCTTGTGGTTCGTAACAAAATCTGCTTAAGGGAATTTTTTTTTTTTGACAGGTGGACGTGGGAATGGAATTCCTTGATCGTTTCTCAAGTAGAAATCTGTACTTAGAAAACTAGTTTTTGGATCGGTTTCATTTTGATAGAAGTGAATACGTAGACAGCTTTTATTGACTTCCATATGTAACAATACCGTTTAAGCCTTAAATCACAGATAACGTGCCTTCTCAGATACAGTAATTCTCGTTCAACCAATGTACAAAATCCATAAAGAAGCCCCTGTTGGATAATGTTTGATGTGTCTATTCCTTCCATGGAAAGGAGCACTATGTATAAATGTTGGGTTTCTTTGTACTCATTAAGTCACATTTGAGGTTTATGGTAAAAATCAACTTTTGAGTGTGCTCTTTGGTTTTTCTTCATTCGTTTTGAGGAATGGGAAAATGGAAGGATTCTTTGATTTGGGTAATGAAGAGCTAATTTGGGACAGTGTGGTTGTACCAGAAATAAGGAGGGTTGGAAAGGCCAGTACTGTTTTAGTTGCTCAGCACTACTGGTTTTGTGTTAATGTGGTTGCCCTGTCCACTACATGGTTCTGTCAGTAATGTAATCCATTTTCAATGTAAAGCTCTTTTCATTTTTGTCATAGACATAAATTAATATTTTGAGAGGTATCCCTCGCCTGTTCATTTCTTCTGTGTTAAAATGAAGTACTTAAAATTACCGTTATACATGAACTTTGTGGACTGTAAGATTTGTTATATATGTTCAAATGCCTTTTAGCTGGCTTTTTAATTATATGCCTGTTTTGAGTGCTTAATACAATGTAATGTGATTGTAAATCATAAACCTATTTTAAATCATTCATTCCTGTATATTTGTACTCAGAGAGCCTTATTTTATTCTTCCAGCAGAATTACTACTTGTGATAGTTCATTTACATTCCCCAGAATGTGCCTCTGGTGTGAATTTTGTATTGTTATTAAAAGTGTTTGCTGCAGTAAATTGTTTCTCTGGTCCTTCATAGTTTAAGAAGTATATATTTGGAAATTCTGAAGACACACGACTTGTCTTTTCTGAACTTTAAAATAAATGGTGCTTCTCTCACTTATAATTGTTTTAGCTCAGTAAGCTATTTTTTTTTCTCAATGTGAATCTCTTGAGAGCTGACCATGTCCAGTCTTAACCACATTTCAAAAACAGTTATGCTACCTAAGGAGCTAAATCGTTTCATGGATTGATTTTTTTTTTCAGAATAAATTTAAAATATCAGTGATTCTGACAGTGGGTACATGAGCAAAAGAAAAAGTAAATTAATATATTTAGCCAGTGGTACATTTACTTTGTTAGGAATGTAATTTATGTTCATTATAGAAAAGAATTAGTAGAAAATTTCAAGTCATAGAAGATAATAAGTACCTTCCCAAGTGAGTACTTGGAGCCACCCAGCACCTCTGAAGTTGGATATTTTAGTTTTGGATTTTTATATTATGAGCTCTATTTTGAATATCCTTTAATATAACATACATTTACATCTTTACACTCTTACCTACTTATTCCCTTAGGTTATATTCCTAGAAGTGAAAATGGGCTCTCAAAATTATATACACACTTTTAAGACTTTATAATATATTGCCTGTTTGATTTCAAGAAAGACTGTGCCAGTTTACACCTCTAAGAGCATACACATGTGCCTATTTAATATATTTTTTAAGCTAATACTATATGCATAAAATAAAAGGGAAAAAAGGAAGATAAAGCCTGAACAATCACGAACTGGAGAGTGTGGGGATGTAGGTTGTGGGAGCAGGGGATGGATGGAAATGGCTGGCTTGTTTCTCATTAAAATAAAAGTTGTTATTCTAGAAAAAAAAATGCACTGAAGAACTTGTCTGTGAAATTAAACTTTTCATCCCAAAGCTTCCAAATCTTAAGGTCCAGGAACTATCTGGGTTTGCAAAAGCAATTTAGCTGAAATCTAGGCTTTAAGAAGCATCTTTTCCATATTCAAAACACACTGATAATGTTACTGAAGCTTATCCCATAGAGTGTGAAACTAGAAGGTTCCTTAGAGATTATGTCACACACTTTTCTTTTTTACAGATGAAACTTTCAAGGCTTCAAAATAAGTTAAACTGACAGCTAACCCCCATCTCCAAATGTAATGCCAAATGAGTATTTGCAATATATACTTGAATTCTCCTTTAAAATCCTGCCATTTCGACTGCATAATTAAATCAATGTGTCAAAAATGTCAAGTTTCTTCTCAAGTTTAATGTGTATTAAATGTCTTTCCTGTTGAGGAAAAAAAAATTCCAACTACCCCCAGATGACTTCATACTAGGTACGTTGCAAAGTATGCAAGATGCCTTCCTTTCTATCCACTGACCTTCAACTTGCAGTATTCTGCAAAAGAAATCAGGTGAGCTTGAAAAGTGTTATGTAAAGTAAACTTACATATATTGAAAACACTAAAGTTAAATTTCTTCTAATCATGGAACTGTTAATTGAAAGAATAAGTACATCAAAATGTGCCCATTCTCCTTCAGTTTTCACTGGAGATGACTGTAGTTTTGAAAAATCAATTATCTGAGTTGCTAGTTCATTGCAACATTCAAGTGTAATTTATGCTAATTTCATGAAATACCACTTAAATACTTATACTTGCAATAGTCCTAAAAATCCTTTGCCAGTACCTCTTTTTTTCTTCTTTCTTTTTTTAACCTTTCAGTTGTCTGGAGGAATTGAAACTACCTGAAATCTTTGATCACTCAATTCTAACCAAATTTAGGCATTTAAAAAAATCTAATTCCCCTTTAAGACTATAAATTTTCATATTAGCTTAAACCATCCAGTTTTGAGTAGGCTACTTTCGATTAGAAGACCAGCTACATTTTGCATTATTTCAAAGCTTTCCCAATATCACAGTTCCTTTACTGTTTTTACAGTATAGCAGGACCTATTAAACTAGGACAATGTGAACAATTTTTTTGAAGACTTTCATTAAATTCAGTCTGTGTTTCCACTTGAAGGTTTCCTATTCAACAGCTTTCCCAGCATAAATGGACCTTTATAATGAATTGCCAAGTGGTCATCGTAACGTACAGGAAACTATGAAGTTCAGCTTTGTTTTCATGAAATAAAGTTGACTCAGTAGTTTATTTATGTTAAGTGAGAACTGCTTGTTAGTCTGGTACTAGCTCTGGTAAGGAAAAAGACTATAAATCTGAGGAAATTACGTCCAGTCTAAGGACCATAACTCTACTTTTGTGCAGTTAATTGATTAGTATGCTATCAGAACTAAGAATTATGGTTTTTTTTTAACAAGTGAAACTGTTCCACAAAAACTAAAACCACAGTTTTGTTTGGGTCCAAGCTAGGCTTTGCTGTAAACTCTGTCAAATATTGTGTGAATTGCTGATTCATAAAGAAGATGTAAGATTTGTTATCTTAAAAATAACTTTCTATGACAGCCTTTCATATCACTTTGCCTTTGGTACAAGTGTATATGTTCATATGAATACCTTACGGGTGACATGTACACCTAGCTGGTATAGGGCACATAGGAAGAAGAATGTAAGCCGTATACATCTCACTATATCTTGGAGCTTTGATTATTGATGTTCTACTAAAGAAGAAGCAAACTCTAAAACTTTTTGTTTCAAATGAGCGTAGAACATTATAGAGTAGTGAGAGGAAAGATAATCTTGTTGGCCTTCCTGAAAAGATTTAAAATTAAGAAGCCTTAGAATAATGAATAAAGTACTCAAGATAAATTGTTTAGATATGCTACTTTACTGTTATTCTCCGCCTAAATGATTTCTGATTCTACATGAGGAAGCTTTTTGTAAAAACTATTCTTTCCTTTGAGGAATATATACTTATTATCTAGACACTCAGCTCTTGAGAAAGGCACAGGCTAGACTGTCTTATTCACCCTGTATCCCCAACTCCTTGCATAGTTTTCTTTTTTGAGACAGAGTCTCACTCTTGCTCAGGCCCAGCTAAGTTTTGTGCATCTAGTAGAGATGGGGTTTCGCCATGTTGGCCAAACTAGTCTCAAACTCCCAACCTCAGGTGATCCACCCACCTCAGCTTCCGAAACTGCTAGGATTTCAGGCATGAGCCACAGTGCCCGGTCTCCTTGCATAGCTCTTAATTCAAAGGAGCAATGTATAAAAATGTGTTGGTTTTGATCCAAAATTACATGCAGAAAAGCATTCAGTGCTTGCACTGCAATTTCATTTGAATTAGTACAAAAAAAGACACTACATTTATAATTTACTCTAAATTAATGTCGGGGTGTTACCTAAGACATTAGGATGTTTACAGAAGAGTGACCAGTTTTTAAAATGACCATTCTTCTGTAATGTAATTTTTTCTACTACAGAAAGAATGGCAGAATTATAGAGAAATCACCATGTTGCAACCATGACTAAAATAATCGATTCACACAGGGATGGCCAATGGATGCTTATATCATTAAGTGAGAGATTAAGGGAAAACAGACTATTTCCACAATACCAAAGTATTACCCTACAAATGATTCCATTTGAAAGGGGAAAAAGTACCATTAATAAGAAGAGATTTGTGCTTACAACCTAAATTGTGATCAAATTTAAAACCATGAATAATCTACTAATCATTGTGCCTTGGATATAATGAGATATAAATTATACACTATCACATATTTCTGCTGGAACTGTTCAATCTGAAGCTAATCAAGTATTTTACCTTAAATTCCAGTGTACGGAAGATACAAGGGGTTAAGGACCAAGTTAAATTATACCAAGAAGAATCAACTGGACAAATCCAGAATCTGAGACATTCTACAACATAATTGGCTTGATCTCTTCAAAAAGTCCACCAGAAAAGAAATTAGTAATACTGTTAGAAAACAAAGATTTGAGATAATAATTCAAAAGAATAGCTATATAAGACATTTGGAAAAAGAACTCAGTTACTTGAGTGTATATTTGATGCTGCTAGGAACTTCTGTTTAATTTTTTTAGGTATGATTATATTGTGGTAATGTAGGGGAAGAGCTTTACTAGGAATGCATGCCCAAACTACCTAAAGCCAAAGTAGCATGATGTCTTCAGTTTACTTTTAAATGGCTCAGCAAAAATACACACATTTATATGTATTCACATATATGGAGAGAAGATGTCAGAGTAAATATGGCAAAATGTAACAATTGTTGAAATAAGTGGGTGGATATGTGCAGTTCCATAGTACTAGTCTTTAACATTTTCTTTTTAAAATTGTTTTTCATACTGACATTTTAAAAAAAAAAAGGTTGTTTGGTCCAGAAAGGCATTAAGACTCACTAAAGCATTCCTCTTGCACCAGGTTGCAGTCAGAGCTGTTTTTGATATAAACAGTGACACCACTTGCTCCACTCCTACAGATACTAGAATTTCTCCTCTAGCATGGGAGATAAATTGATTTGTATCTGGAAACAGAAATTCAAGTAAGTATAAAGTTGAGCAGTTTTTCAGTAAAGAGTACAGAAACAGGACAAGTGAAGAGGCAGAAATAGTTTAGGCTATGACTATATAAAATGATTCTATGTAGAAAAACAAGCATTCACTAAACTAGATCTTTTTCTCTTGTTTTTCTCCTCACCTAATTTCCAAATTGAAGCTTTTCAAGAAAAAAGTACTATATTTACTACAGGCACATGCCATCATGCCCAACTAGTTTTGGTATTTTTTGTAGAGATGGGTTTTGCCATGTTGCCCAGGCTGGGCTCAGACTCCGGGGCTCAAGCCATCCTCTTGCCTCAGCCTCCCACAGTGCTGGATTACAGGTATGAGCCCCTGCTTCTGCCCCAAATTGATGCTTTCTAAATAGCTATTTGAAGGTACAAGGGAAGTTAAGTTCAAAAACAAAACACTAACTTTCTTTTAGCCTAATAAGTGTGGTTTGTTCTGTCTCAATTTTTTTGGCCTCTTCTTGTAAATAAGCATATACTACTATTCAGTACTACTATAGTTTTTTTTAAATTAAGCTGCTTAGAGCTTTATTTACTATAACAGCTTAAGACTCTTTAAAAATAAATATATATTGCTAAGTTTTAATAATAATTATTTCCAATCCAAAAATATATTTTATGAGATGGTCAAGTTTTCTCAGATGCACACTTCTAAAATTAATAAAATTGCTTAACTCTTTAAAGCATTTCTCAAATAAATAATGGATATTTATTTACGTTGTTCTCGAATTCTCTTTTTCCTGTTCTCCCACCCCATCTCCGATAAGAACAAAGAAAATACTATGGATTAAAATTTTCTGACTAGTTTATATTAATAATAGAAGTAGCAAAAACCCAGGCAATGTTTGGAGAATTGAGTTTTAACCATGGCAATGGTTACTATATAATCACAGGTACTACAAAGTGAGTTTTAAAAAAAAAGTAAGTTTAAACAGTAACGAGTATTTGATGAATGACGGGTCAGCTTGTCTGTGTTGACTTTCATTCACCACCTGATTCCACTAACGCCTTGAAGAGGGTCAGATGATTCCTGAAGTAGGCACTAACAATTTTTTTTCTCAAAATTTTGTTTCTCTGAAAAGGCTCACCATATTTTCTCTGTGAAAGTTAGCGTTTTTCTCCAATGAAGCCAGCGATAAAATGAGAAAAAAAAATGTCAGAAATTGCAAATGAACAGCTATGTCTAATGACAAAATTTTGTGTGTGTCTATAAGAGACCTTGCCTAAACTCATAAGGGAAAGGCAAGCATTAAAGCTTCATAGTAAGCTGTGGCCCTGACTTGCCCCTTTGTCCTTTTTTAAAAAAAAAAATACAAAGACCTACTAAGAGGCTGTTGTGCTGTCTTTGAGTTTTCAAGCTTTGGAGTCACTATTTATGCTTATGACTACAGCAATGAAAACAAGCCTTTTTTCCCCAAACACAAGTAGCTTCAGTCCAGGCCACTCCAGACTTCCTTTCCAGTGACCTCAACACTGACCTTGATTTATTCTAGGAAGAACTCTGCCTGTTTAGTTCTTTTAGCTCATTTTTATGTGAATTCCCATTCACTAGTAGAAAACTAACTTGAACGATTAATTTCATTTCTAGTCTGCTGACTTTTCATTATTATGATTTTATTTTTCCTTATAGTACCCTCTTTGGAATCCTGTTCACCTAGCTTATGGAAACACTTTAGCCCGAGCAGTGACAGACAGGTAATTGTCTTACCAAGGCCATACTTAGTCTCATTTAAAAGCAGACATCCCCACGCTTTCGTGTAGCCCTGAAAGAAGTGGAGGATCAAAGCTACATGCTTCAATTCTTAATCCTCTTTGCCCGATTACTTCATGAAATTTCTGAAGAAAGAACTCAATCCATCCCTCTTCTTCCCAAACCATGTCAGAGCTGCAGTTGTTTTTCAGTCCAACGCTGAACGGCATTGATCTGCGTCAAACATCAGCATGTCTTCCGAAAGGTTTCACTTAATTGGCCTTTACAAGTCTACATTTCTTTGGTTCACCATAAAATTTTATGATACCTGGCTGTTCCCTTCATGCACTCTTACATCTTAGCTCACTGGCACTATCAAGTGAATTATTTTTAAAATGTAAGTTTAAATTGTCGTGAGTATTTGCTGAATACTCATTCAGCAATGAGTATTGTAATGACCAGTCAGCTTACCCATGTAATCAGTAATGACCAGTTAGCTTACCCATGTTGAGTTTCACCACCTGATTCCACTAACACCGTGAAGAGGCTCAGGCTTCAAAGAGCTTGGATATAGCGGATTTTCTTCTGGTCCGTAGAAGCCTCTTGAGGGCAAGAACTGTTTTGAACATGTTTGTAACCCTCCTTATGCTTTTCACATAAAAGTCACTCACTGTTTTCAATAATGATAATTAGCATTGCTGGGGCACTTACCTTTGATGACTGGAGGCCCACTGGTGACACTTGCTGGTGATGAAAATCACAGGTCTAGGTGGCAAACACTGACTACTAACCACTGTTTAGCCTTGAAGGTAAATACTACCAAGATGTGGTCATTAGGGTTGTTGTTGGCTGGAACATTTAGCAGTTTATATGACCCTAGTTTTTATTTGGAGGCCAGCCTAACTGCTGCCATTTTTCAGAAGGAAAATAAGTTAAAACTAGTTAACCTACCTGTTCAAGTGTGTGGATTCTAACTACAGGCACACAAGGACTGGGTTGCATGGGTGTTTCAATATTACCCAGCAGAAATAGACTCTACAAACATGGCTTTCTGGAATTTGAAGGCAATTCTCATAGGAAAGTTCTTTTTTTTTTTTTTTTGAGACTTGCTCTGTGGCCCAGGTTGGAGTGCAGTGGTACAATCTTGGCTCAGTGCAACCTCTGCCTCTTGGGTTCAAGCAATCCTCCTGTCTCAGCCTCCCAAGTAGCTCCAATTACAGGCGCCCACCATCACACCTGGCTAATTTTTATATTTTAGTACAGATGCGGTTTTACCATATGGTCAATCTGGTCTCGAACTCCTGACCCCAGGCAATCCACCCACCTCGGCTTCCCAAAGTACTGGGATTACAGGCATGAGCCACCGCTTCTGGCCCGGGAAGTTTTTTATTATAGTATCCATGTTTGCAATCTAATGAAGAAGAAACTGACTATTGTGACAGAGAACACACACACATACACATAAAATGTGTCTTTCTTGATTATCTCAAGAGCTTTGGTTAAAGGTAGCATAGCATGTGACTTTTGTTAAAAACTTTTATGCCAATAAAAAACTGATGATAAGTCATAATTTCCCTGGGCTCCTTTCTCCCTTTATGTTCTGTCCCTGCTCCAGCCTTCTGAGTTAGCCCTCTGATTTCTTCATGGTGCCCCTACCCAGCCTGCTGCACAGGAAAATGGGCTGTGAACCATTGTGAACACAAAATATATGAGACAAGTCTCAGTCCATTTAGGAAACTTATTTTTCCAAGGTTAAGGGCACACCCATGACACAGCCTCAGGAGGTCCTGATGATGATTGTCCAAGGTGGTCAGGTCACAGCTTGGTTTTATACATTTTAGGGAGACATGAGACACTGACGTAAGTAAGATGTACATTGGCATGGTCCAGAAAAGAGTGATAACTTGAAGCAGGGAGGAGCTTCCAGGTCATAGGCAGATAAAAGACAAATGGTTGCACACTTTTGAGTCTCTGATTAGCCTTTCACGGAATATACAATTTACTCATGATAGGGGTTAGAGGAATAGTCACATATGCCTTAGTCTGGCTTAGCGAAACAACAGGCCAAAGGAAGCCATCAGATATGCATTTGTTTCATTTGAACAGAGAGATGATGACTTTGAGTTCTGTCTGTTCTTTGTCCACAAGGAATTTCCTTATGTGCAAACTGTGAGGGAGGTATGTAGCTTTTTAATCTTTGTAGCTATCTCATGTAGGAATAGCATGAGAAGCAGATTTGCACAACACATTTCCCAGCTCAACTTTTCCCTTTGGCTTAGTGATTTGGGGGGGGTCTCAAAATTTATTTTCCTTTCACATTTCCCCCTTTTTCTTTTTAAAATTTTTCAGAGAAAGCACTTCAGAAGAAAATGAGTCTCGGGTCTCAAGTTATATCTGATCTCTCATGGCTAAGATGGTTCATTCCTAGAGGGTAGGTCCCATGTTATTAGGAAAGCTCATTTTCAGCAGGTTGTGAAGACTTACATCCTACAAAAAGAAAATAGGAGGAAGTGAGAAAAACAACAAACAAAAAGAATGAAGATCTTAGGAAATCAGTATAGGCCATATTATTCTGAAGTCCACATATTAGTAGGCAGCAGGTATAAAAGTGGTTTATGTATGAAAATAAGTTGATGTTATCTTCTTCTAAAGTTTAAGCTGTTTAGCTTCAGTTTTTCAGAGCTTTAAGAAAGTACAGTTCGGCCCGCCCCTTGCGCTGCCCTCTCCGAGTGATTGAGCTGCGTTCCTCTCAGAACACGCTGCAGAAGGGGTCCTAGTGAGGAGTGCTGCGTTTGCTCCCTGAGTCTACTCGCCAGCCCACCGTCCTCCGCTGCCACATCCCGCACACCCGCCCCTCTCCTGTACCAGGAACTTGCTACCACCAGCACCATGCCCTACCAATATCCAGCGCTTACCCCGGAGCAGAAGAAGGAGCTGTCTGACATCGCTCACCGCCTTGTGGCCCCGGGCAAGGGCATCCTGGTTGCAGATGAGTCCACTGGGAGCATTGCCAAGCGGCTGCAGTCCGTTGGCACCGAGAACACCGAGGAGTTCTTGGTGTCAGCTCAGTCATCATTGAGCTGACAGCTGATGACCGCATGAACCCCTGCATCGAGGGCGTCATCCTCTTCCACGAGACACTCTAACAGAAGGCAGATGATGGGTGTCCTTTCCCCCAAGTTATCAAATCCAAGGGCGGTGTTGTGGGCATCAAGGTAGACAAGGTCACCCTGGCAGGGACAAATGGTGAGATCACCACCCAAGGGCTGGATGGGCTGTCTGAGCGCTGTGCCCAGAACAAGAAGGATGGCGCTGACTTTGCCAAATGGCGTTGTGTGCTGAAGATTGGGGAGCACGCCCCCTCAACCAATGTCCTGGCCCGTTACACCAGCATCTGCCAGCAGAATGACTTCGTGCCCATCGTGGAGCCTGAAATCCTCCCTGATGTGGACCATGACTTGAAGCGCTCAGTGTGTGACCGAGAAGGTGCTGGCTGCTGTCTACAAGGCTCTGAGCGACCACCACATCTACCTGGAAGGCACCTTGCTGAAGCCCAACATGGTTACCCCAGGCCACGCCTGCACTCAGAAGTTTTCTCACAAGGAGATTGCCATGGCGACTGTCACAGCTGCGCACCGCACAGTTCCTCCCCTCACCCGCACCCCCCGGCTGTCCCTGGGATCATCTTCCTTCTGGAGGCCAGAGTGAGGAGGAGGCGTCCATCAACTTCAACGCCATTAACAAGTGCCCGCTGCTGAAGCCCTGGGCCCTGACCTTCTCCTACGGCCAAGCCCTGCAGGCCTCTCTCTGTCCTGAAGGTCTGGGGTGGGAAGAAGGAAAGCAAGAAGGCGGCGCAGGAGGAGTACATCAAGCGCGCCCTGGCCAACAGCCTCGCCTGTCAAGGAAAACACACCCCAAGAGGTCAGGCTGGGGGCTGCTGCCAACGAGTCCCTCTTCATCTCTAACCATGCCTACTAAGCGGAAGTGTTCCCAGGCTGCCCCCAACACTCCAGGCCCCGCCCCCTCCCACACTGTCTTGAAGAGGGGGCCTCCTACTCCGGGGCTCCAGTCTGGCTTGCCCACGCTCTTGCCTCCCTTGAGACAGTGATGTGTGGTGTCGTCTGTGAATGCTAATTCCATCGCCCTTTCCAGCACACTGCTAATAAACAGCTATTTAAGGGGATGGGTAGAAGTGATTTTTAGTGATTTCAAATTAGTAAAAATAGGAACAAAAGGAAAGGAAAGAAAAAAGTTGAAAACATTATTTTGGAGATTTGTAGCCATTAAAAGTTTTAGATTTCAGTCCAAACCGTAGAAAATAATTAAAAGGGAAAAACATTAGGCAAGACTAGAATCTAATAACAGGTGTACTATAGTTTATTTTGAAACATAATTCTCTCTCCAGTCCCATTTTTACTAAAGACAAATCAAAGACAAATTCATTTGCAAAGTAAGTTTTAGTCTTATTATACTTGACTGGAGTATTTGCATAAAGTCAGCAAGGATAATTATTTGCCATATAGGCTTCTTTCGTTTTTGTTTTTTAATTGGCTTTGCTAGAACTTTATTCCATAGGAATCTCAGATTCAACTTTATATGCCTTAAGCCCAGCCTATGCTTACAAATACCTGTATTAATTGGTTGAATTCCTCACCTTGAGGTCCCAAGAAAACTTGGGGTTCCTGGTTCTGTCAGAAAGTGACATTCTTACCACAGAGACTGTGTAGACAGGGTATGAAGCCAGTTTTCTCAAGGGACTTTTATTAACCCTATAAGTCAACTTTAATTCCTTAAAGGAGACTGTAACTGAAAGCTTGCCATTCCAGTCAAAACCTGGTAAAATAACCTGTGGCTCCAGTTGTGTCCTGTTACAAAAGAAAACATTGTTATTGCACTTATGCAAATAAGTCTATCATCATATGTTAAGAATACAGATAGTTTCCAAATTTTGGAGAAATTACGTAGACAGAAGTATACTCCAAATTTTGTTTATAGGAATATACTTAAATGTTAAAAGCTGTAAAAAGCTTAAAAGTTCTTGGCTCTGAAAAACAAACAAAGGATCAGCAATCTTTTAAGCAAAAAATAATAAAAGGATTATTTCAGTCTTCTGTTAGTTTACTCCTGCAGTTAACTGCTGTTCTGCTTGATATTCATGAACATTTCAGCTCTCCATGAGAGTCTTGTGAGTTTTTCCTCTATTCTAGTGTCACAATCTCCAAAGTTATCAGAAACCTGCATTTAAAAGCACCTGCCAAGAGTCCTATAGCTGATTATAAAACCACCTTTTAAAAAGAATAAAAGTAAAACAACTGTGGATGACAAAAGTCTTAGAACAATCATAGTTACTAAGACAACTGACAAAGAAATTTGGTTGCTTCTGTGGCATACAGTGATTTTACATAGTAACCATAATTACTACTGACAACATGTGTTACGATATATCAGAATCACAGGATTTCACACAGTTCTGGAACACATACTAATAACACATTTATATAAATATAATCCAAAGAAGTTTAAACACTTTCATATTTGACAATACTTGTATGATTTTATTATATCAAATAAGCCAGATACATCTCTTTTGACTCCAGGGGACTAACATAAAATTAATGAGGAAAAAAGTTAGAATTTGATTTTGGAGTTTGTCAAACATAAAAAGTTTAAAACACTTAATATCACAAAATAGGATCACAGGTCATTGTAAAATAAGTCACTCATTTAGACAATGTGATACCTTAAAGATTACCAAAAAAGTTAAAACCTTTATTCTTTGAGAGAGGAAACTTAATTTCCCAGATATTAAGCTCTAATAAAGACAGCATGAGGCCAATTAAATTTGTTTTTCAAAATTTTATAAACAACCTATAAAATTTTAATCATCTTGACCATAAGAAATAATTTCCATAAGCTTTTTATAACCTTTATACCATTTATTAAGGAGTGAGTTAATATTCCAAGAAAACCTTGTTAATTGACATGGGGGTCCATATGCTAGCCTTGCACTAGTGTGCCTTTCACGTTAACAGTTAATTTATAGAGAAACTGAACTTACTTAATCTCTCAAATCAGCCCTTATTCACATGCCTGTCTCTTCTGCGATAGTCCCCGGCCTTGAGGAGTTGAATAGTTTTAATTTCTGGCCCTGTGTCTCACAAATGGAGTTTATTTTGATTGGCATCTGCTACTGGGGCTGAAGATGAGGCTTCAACTGCTATCAGTGTTTTAAAATTTAGCAGGACTTGGTGTCCATTTTAGACTCTGAAGTCAAACCCCTGTAAGGACTTTAAAAGCACATGTAGAAAGTTACACAGATGTAATAGCCTTAATTTAAAATTAAGTACTTTAAAAGCACATGTAGAAAGTTACACAGATGTAATAGCCTTAAATTTTCTTTCAATTTGTTTTTTCTAAGAAAACCAAAACTTAATAATATTGACATCAACATTATTTTCATAAAGCATAAAATCTTTGTTACACCAGTTAAGTGAAGGCAAAAGAAATGCACAGCAAATACTGGTCCCTCTCAGGAGTCTATTTAGAATATCTACAAGTCAAAACTAATGAAAAGAGTACTTGAATTAGTTAGATATAGGAAGCGTTGCTTGAGTCATAGTGAAAATTTTCTGATTCATAAAACAACTTAAAGCCAAGGGCACAGAATATTATGTTGGAAGGAAGAATTTTCTTTAAGATAAAACATTTTTAGCATCAGCCCACAACAAATAGTTAGAACCCAAAGAAATAAAACCTATGGTAGTTGAAAATGAGTTGAAGTTTAGAGTTATTAATTCAGGCCTTTTAAATGAGGAGAAAAATTTGAAAACAGATGCAATGAAAGATTAAAATTTGGGTTAAAAACATTAAAATCTCTTGTAATTAAGACTAAATACCTTCAGAAAATTTCATTGTTCTACCCAGTTCTGTAGTGTACAAATGTCTTAAAAAAATTAAAACTCAATCTCTAGAAAGACCATTGTAAATAATTTCCCTTTAATTATAGACAACTTGATCATATAAAAGTTTTTTTTCATAAATCTTCTTATGACTTACAGAGACCGTTTGTGATATGCTTGGACTTTCTGGTTTGTCCTAAACATCCCTTTATCTTTATTTTTCTCATATATATATATAATTGCACTTTAGGTTCCAGGGTACATGTGCAAAACATGCAGAATTGTTGCATAGGTACATACACGGCAATGTGGTTTGCTACCTCCACCCCCTCCCCATCACCTATACCTGGCATTTCTCCCCCGTTATCACTCCCAAACATCCCTGCCCCGCTCTGTCCCTCCCCTATTCCCCCCAACAGACACCAGTGTATGATGCTCCCCTCCCTGTGTTCATGTGTTCTCATTGTTCAGCACCTATCTATGAGTGAGAACATGCAACGTTTGATTTTCTGTTCTTGTGTCAGTTTGCTGAGAATAATGGTTTCCAGATTCATCCATGTCCCTACAAAGGACACGAACTCATCGTTTTTGATGGCTGCATAGTATTCCATGGTGTATATGTGCCACGTTTTTCTTGTCCAGTTTATCATCGATGGGCATTTGGGTTGGTTCCAGGTCTTTGCTATTGTAAACAGTGCTGCAAGGAACATATGTGTGCATGTGTCTTTATAATAGAACTATTTATAATCCTTTGGATGTATACCCAGTAATGGGACTCCTGCATCAAATGGAATTTCTATTTCTTGAGGACTCACTACACTGTCTTCCACAATGGTTGAACTAATTTACACTCCACCAACAGTGTAAAAGTGTTCCTATTTCTCCACATCCTCTCCAGCATCTGTTGTCTCTAGATTTTTTAATGATCACCATTCTGACTGGTGTGAGATGCTATCTCAGTGTGGTTTTGATTTGCATTTCTCTAATAACCAGTGATGAGCATTTTTTCATGTTTGTTGGCCTCATAAATGTCTTCTTTTGAGAAGTGTCTGTTCATGTCTTTTGCCCACTTTTGAATGGGTTTGTTTGTTCTTTTCTTGTAAATCTGTTTTAGTTCTTTGTAAATTCTGGATGTAGCCCTTGGTTAGATGGGTAGCTTGCAAAAATTTTTTCCCATTCATTTTGGTTTTCCCAACCAATAACCCAACCATGGTTTGTCAGTTCACTCTAATGATAGTTTCTTTTTCTGTACAGAAGCTCTGGAGTTTAATTAGATCCTATTGGTCTATTTTGGCTTTTGTTGCCAATGCTTTTGGTTTTTTTTTCTTCTAGGGTTTTTATGGTGTTAGATCTTATGTTTAAGTCTTTAATCCATCTGGAGTTAATTTTACTGTAAGGTGTCAGAACGGGGTCCAGTTTCTGCTTTCTGCACATGGCTAGCCAGTTTCCCAACACAATTTATTAAACAGGGAATCCTTTCCCCATTGCTTGATTTTGTCAGGTTTGTCAAAGATCAGATGATTGTAAATGTGTGGCATTGCCTCTGAAGACTCTGTTATGTTCCATTGGTCTACATCTGTTTTGGTACTAGTACCATGCTGTTTTGATTACTGTAGCCTTGTGGTATAGTTTGAGGTCAGGCAGCATGATGCTTCCAGCTTTGTTCTTTTTGCTTAGAATTGTCTTGGTTATGCAGGCTCTCTTTTGGTTCCATATGAAGTTTAAAGTGTTTTTTTTTCCAGTTCTGTGAAGAGGGTCATAGGTAGCTTGAATGGGGATAGCATTGAATCTATAAATTACTTTGGTCAGTATGGCCATTTTCACAATATTGATTCTTCCTAACCATGAGCATGGAATGTTCTTGCATCTGTTTGTGTCCTCTCTTATTTCATTGAGTGGTTTGTAGTTCTCCTTAAAGAGGTCCTTTACGTCCTTTGTTAATTGCATTCCTAGGTATTTTATTCTATTTGTAGCAATTGTGAATGGCGGTTCATTCTTGATTTGGCTCCCTTTAAGTCTGTTATTGGTGTATATTAATGCTTGTGATTTTTGATCATTGATTTTGTATCCTGAGACTTTGTTGAAGTTGCTTATCAGTTTCAGGAGATTTTGGGCTGAGACAATGGGGTCTTCTAAGTATACAATCATGTCATCTCCAAATAGAGACAACTTGACTTCCTCCTTTTCTAATTGAATACCCTTTCTTTTTCTTGCCTGATTTCTCTGGCTAGAACTTCCAATACTATACTGAATCGGAGTGGTGAGATAGAGCATCCTTGTCTA